GCCGAGAGGGTTGGGCCTGGGCTGGGTGCCTGGGTCCAAATTTATGCGGTTAGTTATTCGGTGGGGCTTAATATTCGGTGCGGTGTGCGGTTAGTCCACAAACCGTAAAAGGACCAAAACCACTAACTGTTACCGAATAAAGGTCATTTTAAACGGTTTGCGGTTAACCATAAACCGCTCTTATTCGGTGCGGTTGCGGTTTAACCGCAAAACCGCAACCGTTTTCCCACCCCTAGTAGGAAGGGTAGAATATGGAGTGTCAATTTTTTCTCTTTCCTCTCTGGAACGGGCCAACTACCGTACACATGCGGATTTAAACGGGTCCAGGAGTGTCAATTTTTTTCTTTATTCCCTTTTATTTCTCCGTGGTGATAAAATATATATGAAAAGGCAAAAATAATACTCCTTTATTGTTAAAAATAAAAAAAAATTACAATAAACTAATGCATGGTATCTAATGGGCTAACCGCTAACCATAAAATAAAAGAGTTGAATGGGCCTGACCTACATGGGATTTGGCCATCAAGTAAACAAATGAACATCATTGGTTTGCCATTCTAAAACAAGCTATTTTTTCTGGCATAATATATATTATGCTGTTATTTTATATCTTCGTGGCTAAAATATAATGTATTTTAAAGTTATTCAATGGTTCAACCTCGACCAACCCAATTAGTCCAACTTTTATCATTTCAAATATATATTTTATAATTATTTGACATCATAATGATCAAATTATAGTGTATTTTATAGGGAATCGTTTGGTATTTGTTAGTAAAAAACTAAACATAAAGATCTATTTGGTTATTTTAAACATTAAAACGATCCTAAACATTTTCAGTTCATTTTGAATTTCTATGGTTTTATTCCCGAATAAGTGATGTGCAAATGGCGAATTGTAGTCGTCTCTTATCTTTCACTATTTTTTATTTTCAAATAGAAAGTTTAAAAGTAAAGAATAATTAGAATTTGGCATGGGTCGGTCAAACAGACTGAATTTCAAGTTTTGGCCCGTTTGTTTTATGCATTGCAAATTTATTAGTATGTTGATGGAAATGGATTGGAAAAAAGACATATAAGTTGTACCTTTGCAGAAATGTCCTCAAATGTTTGAATGCTTTGTGAATCAGGTTCCGTGACTTTTGTGATGGTGTATGTGCTTGACGATTGCTCGATGTTGTAACTACTTAATTTGAGAGTAAATCTCCTGATTTTCCCTATGAGTTGTGATCAATGCAGTCAAAAGCGCGATTCTACCTAAAAGCGAAAAAAGGGTAAAATCGAAAAGCTGCGAATCAAAGCGTAAAAGCGTAAGTTTTTGATGCATCATGTATAATAGTTAAAAATCTGTTAAGTACGACATGTATTATGCAAAATATGAGTGCATGGAGTTTAGACAAGTGAATAAATACATGCAATTCTTGTCCAAATTAAAGCAAATTCATAACATCTTAACAATAAGTTCATAAACATAAACTGTAACCCACAAACGAGATAATAACCAAATTCTCAATATATTAGCTTCACATTCTGCCCTTGGTTTCTCAAAGGTTCAATTAGAAACACCACATATACATAATTTAGCAGTAGCATACGTAAGTAAACCAGTAAGTTATACGCCTATTGGAAATTATAAGTAGTTTCCCTCGTTTTGCTGGGTTGGTTTAAATTATTGAGAATGTGTGAGTTGTAATTTAGCTAGAAATACCTGCTAGGTTATATGTTCAGGGTGGACTAAGAGTTGAGAAGGGGAATCATTTACCCACCATTTAGGAGCCATAGGTGAAGTGGCGACGGGGTAGGACAAGATAGAGACAGAAACTAACATGGTGTGGCGCCAGCGAGTGGCGCCAGGCGACGACGAGTGCGACGGGTGCTGCCGCGTTGGAGCTATCGAGTGCGACGGGCTAGAGCTTCACTGGAAGGTGGCGACGGCGGTTGCGGACTTGCGGCGGCGGCGAATACTTCAATGGAGGGCTAGCTGCGCGGTGGAGCAGAGTGTGCTGGAGTGCTGGAGATGGAGGATTAGGGATTGCGGAAGAGTGGTTTGGTAACCTCAGCCTTATATCCACCCTCTTCCCCCCCCCCCTTTGTCCGAAGTGATCAAAATGGCGTCGTTTTTGTTTGGCGGAGACAATTTTCTCCTTTGCTTGGAATTGTTAAAAAACGGTATGAAAGCGCTCTTTTATCCGATTTTAACGATTCTACTAACGCTTTTGACTGATTTTGAGTAAAATACGATTTTATTAGTGATTTGAAACGTTTTCTTACCCTAGAAACGTAAAATTGTACGATTTTACGCTTTAAAGCGCGATTTTGACTGCACTGGTTGTGATACCAGTTCTGGTGGTTGCAGCATGTGGTCGTTGTTGACCTGTAAAAGTTGTTCCGCCGTGATGCTAAATACCTTTCTTTCTTTTTTAACAAATTGTGTAGTAGTGCTATGAAACAGACCACCCATGAACGCTACGCTTATTATGGTCCGTTCTTACTTCCGGTGGTGAGAAATTGTGAATTGAGAATCATATTTGCCTACCGCACTGTGTCTGGCTGGTGGCTGCTTACTGTGCTCTCTAGAGTTATTAAACAGACTACCCATGAACGTTACCCTTAAGAGTCCATAACTTTGCCAAAAACCAATTTAGGCAATCAAAGATGGTGGATGTGTGATGATTTTTTATGGCTTAATTGTTTGTGGATTGGATATCTGATCTTTGTATGATTAGAGGGGATGTTTGATTAATAGAATAATCCATTTTAATTCATGTTTATTTTTAACATGAACTTTAGTAACTCAAAACCTTCGAGACACATATCACCTACTGCATTGTATCATTTTGCCTGGGTGCTTGTTGTGTTGTCAAACTTCTTTGCTGCTGCTGCTGCATTTACACTAACAGGGGAGTTAAGAACCCATGAATGTTTCCGTTTGACACAAACAAGAGGACTTACTTCTAAATCGTGCACTAAAGATGATTGGAGGAAACATCTCTGTTGCAGTTGATATATTGGAGACCATAACAAAAGCAACGTATAACATCAAAACCAACCATCTGAACTATTAGCATTGTTGCTTTACTCTTTTTTCGTGGTTGAGTCTCCTTCAAAAAATTTAGTTTGATTTTAGAAAATTTTGCTTCTGCAGTCCTGTTTTGCCACCAACGCGTTCAGTAGATGGAGATGGCAGAGGCGAAGGCTATTTTTGTGTTGTTGTTGTTGGTTTAGGGATCGGTTTGTGAAGAAGAGGGAGAAGAGAGGTGGAAAGGGAAATGCAGGAGAGGGGGATAACTCTTTTCTCCGACAAAAATGGAGTGGAGAAAGGAATTATGATCAGTAAGGATATGGTTATCTTACATAACGGTCTCTATTCTGTTTGAATTGAGCCTGGGAGGCAGTGATAAGGACGAGCTGCAACCAATTCATAGTGATAAGAGTGCTATGAACTGTGATCATGTCTTATTTCAAGTTAGAAGGTAGTTTCAGTATAAGGATTATTTAATTTGACAAGTTGTTTTGTCCATGATTCTTGGTAGTTTCAGTGCCATTCTAGCCATTGTTTAGTCTATAATTTTTGAGAATTGATGTGCGAGTAATGACTTTCACTTAGCTTCAACTAATATGTGTGTATTTATTGGCATGTGATAGAATTCTCTTTTCCTTTTCTTTGAATCCAATTTCATACTCTAATTGTATCATTTGTACATAGGCAAATCATGCTCGAGATGACAACTCGCTGATATGGCTGGTGCAAGGAATGAAGCCATCATTAGAATTCAGACCGACAACGGGGAGGGATGCCCAGGACTAATTCAATGATGATTGATGATGGTATAATAAAAACTGCAGTCTGCATCTGCACCAATTTCTAGGCCTAAGTAAAATTATTCAACCCAGAACTCTGCTTAGCGCTAAATATTGCCCTCACCCAACCTTGATCCTGTTTGACCCACTTCTGAAGAGTTAAGATATATGACTAATCCTCTTCGTTCGTATTTTCTTATTGACTCTTTCTGACCCTTTAGGTTGGGGCGGGTCGGGAAGAATCGGATTAGTGGGTCGGTCCTAATCAAGTGGAATCCCAATTCCTTCACTCTCACTTGCTTTCTCTCCCATTCCACAAGTGGGTAACATACAGTAATCCGGCCAACGGGCCGGGTAATAAGCTAGTTAAATATAATAGCATAATAGAATTTCCTGGTCTCTTAATTCTCTCTCCTAGTTCGTCCGAACCTCTCCCCTTTCTTCCTTTTCTTTGGGGCGACTTTCCCCTCTATTTTCTCTCTTGCTTCTCAAATCCTTTTTTTAAAATCTATTCTCCTAATCTCTGATCTCTCAAATATCCAATTTTACTATTTTCCCCAATTGTGAAACTCTGGATAGAGACACCAAGATTCATAGTTCATACAATCATTCACCTTGTACTCCTGTAGAGTACAAATACTCTTATTGTCATCTCAACTTGGTTGATCCAGAGTGTTGACTTGATAAATATGTGTATACATATCTAAAAGTCGTTTGGATAATAAATTATAACGGATTAGTTTGATCCAATAAATTTGGATGAAGCAATTTGCCTTTTAATAGGTCCTAAAGATTATCTCATAAGATGTGCACATTGCTCCTTTCACAAAATTCAACAAATAATACCAAATCCACGTAGAAATGTAGTAACCAATACCTTAGTGATGCGTACATTTACCAGAAAATATTGTGGACTAGATGATCATAATGATATTCTATAATTCTACTCCATAATTGAGAATACTCTAATTTGACTATTGAACGTTATTCAACTCGAGTTAACTCAGATTTGAGATCACATTAGCGGGATCTTTTGGTACTCTTGGAAATCTGCTTGATTTGAACAAGATTAACGGCTATTTAAAATGAAACCGACAAACAAAATAAAAAATGTATGTGTTAAAAAATCGAAGTATTAATTTGCGCAAAATACTCTCTGCTACTGCCTATGTATTATGTCCCTCCTTGCTCCTTGTGCTAAGCTACTACCGCCACCGCCTTGTTTGTTTCCTCTTTCCTTCCTTCCTGCCTTCCATCTCTCCTCTCCTGCCCTCTGTTTTCTCTTTCTCTTGTCTCCACGAAGGGAAAACAAAAGGTTTCAGAAAAGCGAAAAGCAGCAACTAGCTTAATAATAAGTAGCTCTGTGGCAGAACTGCAGAAGGTCAAGGAAGCAAAAGCTGAAAGAAAATAAAAATATAGAAAGGAGAGAGAGAGAGAGAGAGAGAGAGAGAGAGAGAAGGAGAAGTGGGGGAAGTGTTCTTATCAAGGAGCCTCTTTTATTCAATCCCATCTCCCAAGTTTCTACCTTTCACATTTTGTTTCTCTTCGCTTGGCTCTCTCCCCCTTTCTTCTCCGGGTGTCTCACTTCTACAGCCAAACCCTTCAAAAACTGTTCACTGTTTTTTCACTTTGCTTTCTTCTACTCTCTGTCTTCTCTCTTTGCCTTCTTTGGCTCCTAGCTAGTGGAGCTTAACTGTGTTTGTTTGGAAGTACGATGAGTAAACAAGATGTTATGAAGATGCAGGTATGCTTCTAATCCTTCTTCTCAGTTCTCAACATTTCTCCTCACAAATTCTTTTGCTTTTCTAACTTCCAGTCAGTTATACTTGGAAACCCTTTTTTTTGAATCTGGTCTTGACTCTTTGAAATTTTGGGTTTGGTATAGTTTTGACACCTTGCTGAATCTTTTTGTTAATTGGTGCTTTGTTGGCTTGTTTAATGGCAGACTTTTGTTCTGAGGGTGAATATTCAGTGTCACTGTGATGGCTGCAAGTCCAGAATCAAGAAGCTGCTGCAAAAAACTGATGGTAAGTTTTAATGTTTTGGATGCTGTCAATTTTTGCTGCCTTTTTAGGGTGAGATCTTAGCACTCGTGGTGGATTTGTTTTTGAAACTTTTTTGTCCATTTCATTTTGTTGTATATTTTTTAGGGGTGTACACTACACAAGTGAACACAGAGCAAGGAAAGGTGACTGTGACTGGGAACGTCGACCCAATGAAGCTCATAAAGAAGCTTGAGAAGTCTGGTAAACATGCTGAGATATGGGGAGGTGGAGGAGGAGGAGGAGGAGGAGGGAAAGGGTCAAACAATTTCCAGAACATGGTCAATAACCAGTTCAAGAATATGCAGATGGAGAGTGGGAAAGGAGGAAAAGGTGGCGGTGGAGGAAAAGGCGGCCATCCACAACAACAGCAACAGCAACAACTACAGCAGCAGCACCACCAGATCTTGCAGCAGCAGCAGTTCAAAGGGATGCCTAAAGATTTCAAGATGCCACCACAGAGCAAGGACTTGAAGTCAGTGAAGTTCAACTTGCAAGGCCAGCATCAGCAACAGCAGCATCATAATAACAAGCATGGCGGGTTTGATGATGACTTGGATGATGATGATGATGACGATTTTGATGATGATATGGATGATGATTTTGACGACGATGATGATGAGGATGGCGATTTTGATGATGAGGATGAAGAGTTTGGCCATGGTCATGGTCATGGTGGACATGCTCAAGTTCCTAATAAGATGGTGATGCCCAATAAGATGATGGGTATGATGGGTAATGGCCATGGAGGACCAATGGGGATGATGAACCTGGATGTGTTGAAAGGAGGCGGTGGTGGGAATGGGAAGAAAGGAGGCGGTGGTGGAGAGTTTGAGGTGGGAATGGGGAAGAAAGGTGGTCACTTTGAGAAGGGGAAGGGGGACAGTGGAGGGAAGAAGGGTGGAGGAGATAGTGATGGGAAGAATGGGAAGAAGAACAAAGGAGGTCAAAAACAGGAAGGGAGCAAAGACAAGGGTCATAAGGGTGAGAAAAGCAAAAGCAAAGGAGGGATGATTGGTGGGTTGTTTGGGTTTGGATGCAAGAGCACGAAAGAGAAAAAATCCATTGACAGGAAAGGTGTCAATCTATCTGAGTTTCAAGATTTTGGGAGCACCAAGAAGAGCAAGGGCAAAAATGGTGGTGGTGGAGTAGATGGTACGAAGAAAGGTGCAGCTGCAAACCATCATCAAAGCAATGGGGCCAAAAAAGGTGGAGGTAAACAGGATGGGGCCCATGACTTCAAACAAATGAAAGGGTTTGGTGAGATGGGTGGTGGCAATAGTTATGGTGGTGGTGCCAGGAACATGGGCCAGCAAATGGGGTCGATGAGTAATTATGGTGGAGGAATGGGGGGTATGCCTATGCAGCACCCTCATCATCCTGCTGCTGCAGCAGTGCAAGGATTGCCTACTGCAATGAATAATGGTGGTGGAGGGTACTATAACACTTATCAAGGAATGGGGCAGCAGGGCAATCCTTACGGTCAGGCTCCACACCAGCATCAGCAGCAGCAACAGCAATACATGGAGATGATGATGAATCAACACAGGCAACAAGGGAATGAGATGTACCATCCCATGATGTATTCGAGGCCATACCCTCCGGTGAGCTACATGCCGCCGCCTCCGATGCCTGGTCCTCATGGATCTGAACCTTACTCCAACTTCCTGAGTGATGAGAATGCCAATAGTTGCAGTATAATGTGAAAAAAATGAGTGTAGAGTGTTCAGTTAAGTGTATGATTTATTATGCTCTCTTTTAGTTTTAGGTTTTCTTCACTTGTTCTATGTTAGGGGATGATGATATGCCTGATCTCTACTGTAATAGAAAGTAAGAAAGGCCTGCAAACAGCTTGGTAGGTTTTTATGAAGGTTTGGCTGCTGATTGTATTTTGTGACTTGAGAAAGTTTGTAGAAAATTTTGCGCATTTGCAAGCCTACCTACTCCTTTGACTTGATGAAATATATAACATTATTAGGATGGCTAACATAATGCAGAGTGCAGTCACAATTTTGCATACACTCTGCAGAAAACAAGGGTGGTTTGTCAAAATTTAAATGAGACTTAAATAAAAAAAGTAGGGCAACTTGGCTCAATAAATGAGATCCAAATACACTTGCATTAGTGGTATTTGGTAGCAGTTTCATCAAGGAGTCGACCCCAAGCACATGACAAACCACATCTGTTCCAACTGCAACAACTTATGATAAATCGCATCGCCCATAAACATAGTTTGTTATCAAACATCCCCAATTGCTTGGTAGCATCAGGGTGAATCAACGATCATGATTGCTTCAAGGAAGCTTGGAGATTGAATGACAGTAGAATGAAAAGCCAAAAACAGATTACAAGAAATATTCTACAGACCAACAAACCTGTAATGAAACTGAGTGAGAGGGAGAGAGTGCCCATGTTCTCGGAGTTATTAGTTTTTCTCATGAGATCAGAGACAAAAGATCTTACAAATCTATAACATTTCAGTCTCTCTCCCAGCCAACTAGGATGAGCCATTAGAGAACTCAACACCATTGCCACCAATCTTAACAGTCAGACATTGGAATCCACAGGCTTCTAGCTCTGAGATCACCTTATCAATAATAGTTCCTGATAGCACTGATTCAAGTAAATCAAGGAAAAGCAAGCAACTCAAGATGTAAAATCAGGAAAACAAATAAAAAACAAAAAAAAGAAAGAAAACAGTATCTGTTCATCCTAGACCATTCGGTTTGTTATGCATATAAAAAGAAACATTAAGGAATTTTTTGGTTACCATGTGTATAAAATACACACTGAATGTTGTATATTGTTTGAAAGTATATTATACTATAACTTGTTGAATCCACAAAAAGCATGTAGTTTTCAAAGCTCGGAATCACTTACACATTCCAAACTACAAGTGAAATGCATGGTTTTAATACCTAACTTGTACAAGTATAAAACGTAATATATCATAGGAGTCTGGGCATCTTGAAAATCAAGGGTAAGAGTAATTAATGCAAACCGTATAAGTTACTTTCATATCCAAAAGACTGTTCAAAAGACTGTTCATGAATGAAAATACTAATGCAAGTTCTACGGATAAGGTATGAGGGTATTCTTACAGAGAAATGATTTGCTAATATTAAGTTATTAATCATAGAAAACGTGAAAGAACCAGATATGAAGGCAAAAACTGACTGAAGAGTAGCAAATTAAGGAGCCAAAGGATACGGGTTGGCAAGAGTGTTAGCACGCAACCTCCACCGCCAGCACCGGTTAACTTAGAAGCAAGCTTGTACTTCAACGTCGTCCTCAGAACAGTTTCGATAGAAGCATGGCTGACTCCCATACATTGGAGCAAGCCTTGATTCATTTCCATCAACTCCCCAAGCTTCTCTTCCCTCTCAGTTATTGAAAGCTCATCAAGAGCAGGCGACTGAAGGACATTAGCCAATTCCTTACTGATGGAGTCCACAGCATTGAAAACAAAGCTCATTGCATCAGGATGCCTTATGTTCCTCTCTGAAACCCCAGCCACCAATGCTTTCGTGTTCCTCCCAACCTTAGTGTTAGTAATGAGCATCTTGAGAGGCATGCTTGACTTTATTCGGGTTAGATTGCCAGTTTTGAACTTGATCATATTGCCTAGTAGAAAAGAGCCATGAAAGGGAAAACATGACTTTAAATCCGTTCTTCAATTATATGCATTGATCTAAGAAAAGAGTAAATCATAATAGCTGCATACCATATGTGCTAACCGTGTTGTCGATTCCTGATGGTTTTCCATGAATGATTTTTTCACCCTCGAAAGCCCATTTGTTGACAAGATCAAGTTGAAGCGCCTCAAAATCTAACCACCCAGGACGCCTCAAATCGGTCTTAATAGAGTCCGAGAATGCCAGGAGAGCAGCTGAGATTGCAACAGAAAAGGCAGCCGATGAACCAAGGCCCGAACCTAATGGAAGTTCCGAAGTAATGACTACAGTTGCAGGTCTAAATCTGAAAGCCAAGTCATCCGCCAATGAGAAAGCCATCTGAGCAATCGGTATAAAGTATTATAAAGTATACTGATCCAGAAACGTTTACTTATATAGATATGTACCCTTTAATGCAGATGTAGAGCCAAAGAAATGCAGACACTCCTGATGCAAGTGCGATTTTTGCCTCTGGAATTCTTTGTTCTTCAACCAAACCTGCAATCAACTTCAACGATTCCGAAGAACATGTGGTGGGTTTTGATGAGAATGGGACTCCCAACTGGGAGAACGCTAGTTTGATTCTCGAAATCGGCCATGAAAACTCCAATGCCATGTCTTTAAGCTGCAATTTCAGCATATCTTCGTGCTCTAAAATGGAAAGAAATTATATATCAAAAGAACTTCATGGAAATGATATTGATTCCCATTTCTAAAAAAACAGTTTTCCACAGAAACATCCAAATAACTTGCATTGGAAACCTCCTTTGTGCCCAATCTAAACACCTAACCACACTCTTATTATAACATATGAAAGATTCAGATTCGACCTTTAACAAGCAATTACTGAATCAAACCAAATCCATTCCCCCCAGAAAGAAATTACTGATTGCCATTGATCAACCCACTGTTCACAGTGGAGAGAATATGGAAGGAATCAACCAATCATGAACCGAGAAAACCCCTTACATTTCCATACATTAGAATAACAAGGAAAAGTTGCGAACTTTCAGCATCATAGCAAGCCAATCTCAAAAGGGTATCCCTATAATCATCATTCTGAGAGAAACCCAATTCGACAACAACAAGATAAAAACACAATCCCTCATATACTGCATAATAGGCACTTAATTGAAAGAGTATCTCACCAGGGGAAGTAGGGAACGTGAGGGTGGCGTGAGTGTATAGATCAATGGAAGCAGCCACCGCTGCGGATCCATGGACAACCGCATGCTCGCCGGAGAGTATGATCTTGCCCGGAGCCCGAGCTTTCACCTCCATGATCTTTCCCGGTGGTGGGTTTTCTGTTTTTCCTCCGGCAGGAGTTTTCTGTTTTGTTTTGGCACTGGGCAGCAAGCAGTTTGATACTTTGAGTTTGACGGGTCTCACTCACCACTCAGCAGTAGCGAAATTTGATGGATTTATGATTCCAAATGGAATTCAGGAAATATTGGCGAAACTGGAACGTGATTTTATAATTTAGAAACTCCGAAGTCATAAGTTTGTCGGAATCTCCTTCCTCCGATGATAACAATTAAACAACGAGTCAAAAAGCTTGTGCAGTCATTTAATTTATTAGTTTCTGCAATATTGATCACTTGGAAACGTTTTCTTAATGCTTGCTTATTGTAGCTGGAATAATCAGTTACTCACAGTCACAGGTCCAGGAAGTTGTCCTAATCTAGCCAGACATTAGTTGGGAGGAAATATTAGGTTGCAGGTAAGAACTGGTTGATAAGATTGATCCTATTATTTTTTCTCGAGTACATCTTTATCATTGACCAACAAAAGGGTGGAATCCAATCTGAACAACATCGACCTGCATATAAGTCGGCTGAATGGAACAACCAAAAAATCGACCTTCATCTGCCATATAAAATACCAAGTTACGAATTTTTACTGGTCTATGCATTTTGTTTTGAAAACGTTTGACTTGAGACCATACACAATATATCACATGTTGTCACTATCGATCGTATCGACCAACTAGTCGACCGGACTTGTTCGTCAAACTCCAAGTAAGTTTTACTTTGAGTTTGGCCAAATCTCCATAAATACATCCGATTGAAGGTAAGATGATGATGTTTTATTTTGGTTAGTCATTTCTCAATTTGAATATTACAAATCCACAGTCTGTCTTGTCCCCTATTCTTCCCTATAAAACCAATAAAGATGACAATCCATTAAAATAAAAATAATGGTGGGCTAATGACTATAGTTGTTTAGGAAAAAGAGGAGCTGTAATGGCTATGTATACAAACATTAAACATGTGTTAATTAAACTTATCAGCTGGCATGCGAGTCGATGATCCTGGTCAAATTTTGGGTGCATGGGAAGAAAAGAAATAGACAGTGAACCAGAAAGCCAACTAACGCAAATGGACAACATCAAGTGCTACTTTAATTTGACCAATTGCCTATGGTGTCTCATTCAATAACATTCACAGCTGTGTTTCCTCCATTACATTGAAATGAACAAAGATCAAATGACCAGACAAAGACAACAATCACAGGGGCGAGAAAAAGCTGGCATGTTACTACTACTTCTGGACAGCTTGAACTTGTTCTTCGATAGTTCTATAAAGATTCTGAACCAGATTGAGGAGGAAACCATCCTGGCCGTGTTTCGCTATCAATGAAACCGATACCGGAAGATCTTCATGTATTCCTAACGGTATGCTCACCTGAAAGAATGTCATGTGATTTGCAGTGAGTGAGCACTCTTAATACGAGAGGAACGATGACAAACCAAGACAAAGTACCTGGCAGAATCCTGATACTCCAGCAATGGACAGAAGGCTGAAAGCCCTGGCGCGAAATCCTTCGAGCGTCGTAGCATCTGTTTGTAGCTTTGGTGGAGGACCTGGAACTGTTGGGATGGCCAGGATCCCTGTGTCCTGTTGAAAAATGGATGTTACAAATATATGCCAAAATGCTGATCCAAGAACAACTTGCTTGTAAATTTTTTAATGGAAAAAGAGAAGTAGAGGAGTATAGTATTACCCCAAGAAGAGCTGAAAGAGCATCTCGTAGCTCGCTCTTCACAGATCGACAGATTTCTATGTGTTCCACTGTCGATTCAACAGCTTCCCATATCCTCTCAGCTAGTCCTGGACCAAAATCAGGTTTCACTGTAGTAACCCATTCCCCATGATTGTTCTTGAACTCATGCCTATATATGAAGGGTGAAATGAGCTTTGTCAAGATTAAGCTCAACACATTGGACAGAGAACACATAGTCGATACCAGTTCAAAGTTAAATCAATCAGAATCAAGAATGCAGCAAAGAATGTTTGTACTTCTGTAGCAGGCGCATAGCAGTAGAGAGTGCTGCCAACGATGGTATGTTGTTGTGCTCTTGATCTTTGGTTTTGGTTTCTTTACTCATGAAATGCCCCAAACTTGGAACTTTATCCTGAACATAGTCCCCAAGGATTGCATGCTTTACAACATTTGCTGCATTTTAACAAGGTCATGTGTGTCTCATTTCTGATAGGCAGCAGAAATGCAGTGCATTTAAACGAAAACGCATGGGGTTTCCTCTATAAACATTTTGATAGATCAAATTTTTTAAGAGGAATACAAGGTAAGATTACCCCCATAAAGCTTCTCCACAGAACTAACGAGAATCCCGGGGATTCGATCTTGTGGAATGCTTGAAAGCTCGAAACAGTCATCTGCTACAATCACCTGGGTGGGGATCACAGCAGCATCCAGATCAGGAAAATGAAGTAGAGTATGTCCAACTCGTTTCAAGATCATTGGATCCCTCGCAAACCATCCTGCAGTGCATATACAAAGTTCAAATCTTATTTTCTTTTCATTCTACCTGAAAGGAGAAAAATAAGTACAAATCAAACCAATAGATGTCTTCTTACCCACAGTATCAAAACTTTGTGCCATGGGAGTTACTCCAGAAGTAGAGACTGCACCATGTGAAGGTCGGATTCCGAAAATTCCACAGTACGATGCTGGAACCCTCACACTTCCTCCAGTGTCAGTTCCTGCAGAGTAACAAACTTTCTAGGCTTATCCTAAAATATGATGAAGCTTAAGTTAAAAAAAGATCAAAGTATGTTCATCACCTAATGCAAAATCTGCAAGTCCTGCACCAACTGCTACAGCAGACCCACTGGATGATCCACCGGGTACACGTTCTGCAGCACACGGATTCACCGGGGTTCCATAATGGATATTCTCTCCATTTATGCTGCTCAAGAGAAGAACCAGAAATTGCTCTGTTAAATCAAATGATTTGCTACAAATCCCTAAGTAGTCAAAAAGTTCCTTGAGAATCCTCACCTGTATGCCATCTCATCCATGACAGTTTTTCCATTTGATTTTGCCCCATCCTTCAAGACATCCAGAACAGCTGGAGCAGTTGACGTTGCTGCGGAATGAGTCCTTGCCCAATCAGGATTACCAAACCCGGTAACATACCCAGCTACATCAAAGCTGTTCCCACCAATCCCACGATGGATTTGTAAGTTGTAAGTTTGTAACCCAATATCGAATTGAAGTTAAAATTCATTTCACTTGCTTCAAAGTACTCTAATGATCCCAGAAACCAACAGATACACTAATTAACAAAGAACTCTGAAGTCGTATGCTTTTTCAATGAGTACAAGGGAAAAAGTAGCACTTTTGGGGAGAAGAGAAGGAAACGGAATTGTGTAGAATAACTTACATGTCTTTGACAGCAAAAGTGAGACCGTGTAATGGGAGCTGAGGATGAGATGAAGAGCTCGGCGGCGGTTCCAGCACAAATTTCTCCATGAAAGCTCCATTATCTTCTGCCGCGTTTGCCATGTCTGTTACTCACAGCTTCTGCCGTAACACACAAAAGATTTTGTACGGCAAAATGGATACCAAAGGAACCAATCAGCAATGCATATTGACCTGAAATGACGATTTTATCCCCCATCCCCTATTGAGTATTGACTGACCTTTTCGTTCTGATTGACAGACAAGGCAACTGTCCTTCCTTATCCATGCCTCTCATATCCATAATTCATCTCTGCAACCGCATTACAGTCAGCACTGAACTAAGCAATGTCATCTCTGTTATTACATTTCCATCCTGGGTTATTTTCGGCATTCTTTGAAGGTAGGACTTATATTTATTTCTCATCCAAAGTGCCAAGAATTGTCTATATATACAAAAATGTCAAACGTCCTTATTGTTTGAAAGCAGACACTTGCTCCTTGTTTGGGAAGTAAGGTATGCAATACCAGCATTAAAAAAAGATGAGGGTGAAAATCTATCCATGTATTACAAGATTCAACCAAGAGCACATAGTTTGTAACTTTCTGCAGTGTTACATACAAGGAATGAGAACAAAGGAGTATAACAAACAATTTTTCACTAAACTTCATCAGACATCAGGATCCTCATCTGAAATGTACAGCAATGGAAGTACAGTTGGTGGGTGCTCATCATCTGATTCCTGTTCTTCTTCTTCTTCTCTAACAATCCTGCGGATTCCAGGAACCTTCCAACCCAACTGCTCTGTGTAGACTTCATCGTAGCCTTTCAGGTTGAAACCTGATGCAAGAAAGAGCTCTAATTCATCTACAAATCGCTCGGCTCGGGCTGTCACGAAAGGTCTGACTGTTTCTGACATGAGATCCCTGAACTCCTGCTGCTTAACCACTGGCGGTTTCTTTTGGTTGAGTAAATCATCTCTGCATGGAAAACAAAAACGCCCTGATTAGTTTAGAAGACAGTAAGCTTGATGGATGCTTCGATGCAGAACAGAAATTAGAGTTACCTTCTCAAGGAAGAATCAATCACGCCAAGTATATGATGGACAATGATGTCAACATCTTCTTCCTGGATACAGAAGAATCAGCCAATTCATTCTCAATTGTGACGCAATACAGATGAAAAGAAATTTACCAGCAAACTAAACCTGAATTAGAGCCTGGATTTCTCTGGTCAACCAGCATTGAAGCCATTGATTTGGCTGACAATACTTTTTCAACTTCCAAAACCGTGAGACATTAAATTTCTCATTCAGGATACCTAAATTCAGAACATCTTTTATAGATTAATACATGAACAACCAGAAAGTCGAAGAAGAAATCGTAAGGCACAAATAAATACCTGATTCAATGTAATAGCATTTTAATCGATACTTGTGTGCGTTTGTAAAGAAGGAAGAACATCTGATAGAATAAGTAAACTCCGTAAGTTTTGAAGTTCATAACCCAGAACTAGAACAGCATGAACTGAATAAAAGCCCACAACCAAAACAGGCAATACATACTCATTGCGGGGACTTATGTAATGCCTATGGAATGAAGCTCCATCAAATCCATGGATGACAGATGCATTGTCAGTCTGCACGTTGGTCAAACCAGAGAACCAATCTTTTAACTACCAATCAAGAAAATCATTCTGGGTCAATTGCAGAGTAAACTGAACTAGCTCGATATCTAAGAAACCTTGCATAAAGGGCATTTCACTGAGGACTGGACTCCAGAATGCTTTCCGGCAACTACTTTAGACCACTGCAGAATGCATTTGAAACAGAACTTGTCTGCAATTCACGAATTGGGGGAAACACCCACACATCAGAAGAACTCAAATTGTGGCTCAAAATCATAAAGCAGGTTAAAAACACTAAATTTGTGTATTTTGAACAAGTACCCATGAACACCCAGTTTACAAACTGTAAGATCAGTTCAGCAAAGAGTGGGGGAAAAAAAAATCCAAACTTGATTGTCAATTCCTCTCCAATTCATTCAGAAACGAAGACCCCACACGGGGAATTGTTCTTCGTGTACAGGGATTAAGGGAATCGGGGGGTTTTTTCTTGAGAGGAAAAGAACTTACGGAAACAGGTATCGAGGTAGGACTCTTGGATGAAAGAACCCAAGCAGATAGGGCAATGGCCGCCATTCGACTCCCGTGAAGATGGAGATGGAATCTTCTCGTCGCCGTTCTTTTCCTCGACGTCCCGCATTCTCGTTGCTTTCACCCGCCGGATTCTGAATTTCTGATCAGCGAATGGCGGTAGTAAAGGTTTGTTCGATTTGGGCCTGGTCCCATTTGGTGGGCATCTTTGTCCACCTTTCCGACCTTAGGCTTTGCTTTTCGTGGCCCTTTCCATATATCTGTTTTTTATTTTTCCGCTCCCGGGATTGATAATGATAGCTAAATCAGCCGAGATTGTCCCGAACTCCCGATAATTTATTACAAAATCACCGCATGAAAGTGATGAGAAATGAAAAGTTTACAAACACCAAGTTCAACAACAATAGAGCTGCGAAACCAAAACAGAACAAACCAAATATGATCGGATTCGCTAAGAGACTAGAACATATATTTTCAGGATGCGTTCGGGTGGTAACTGGATTTTAAGTAGCCATCGTGGCTACATTAATATCCATCATTTATTTTTTTTATTTATTTTTAATCTCACGGTTAATATTGCTTTAGGATAATTTTGGAAGAAAAAAAAGATCACGCCTGATTATTTTATATATTCTATCCTATTCCTAACCTTACTTCTCCTTCCAGTTAAATCCGCCGCAGCCGGCCATTCCTTCCCCTCCCTCGCTCTCCAACACGCCGACCATCCCTCTCTCGTCCTCTCTCTCCGGCCCTCCTCTCCTCACCCCACCATCGACCCTCCCATGTCCCCCCGCTCCTCCCACTCTCCCTTCCCTTCCCTTCCCTTCCCCACTCCACCCATCCCTCCCTTGTAGGGATGGCAATGGGTCGGGTTGGGGCGGATTTCGTCAAACCCAAACTCATCGGTTTATCCGCCAAAAAAATCCGGGGTAAAACCCGTTGGGTTCGAAAAACTCAAACCCAATCCGCTAGGTATCCGCGGGGTTCATGGGTACCCTGGTTTTTGTGGTAAAAAATTTACAATAACAAGTTTCTTTCAAAATAAAAGTTTAACATAAATTTTCTCATACAAATTAATCATACAAAAAACACCAATCTAGAGCATACAAGCAAACCGCAAATGATCAATACAAATTGTTCAAAATTAAAGATAAACATCTACACACAATAAGATTAATTGAAAGCTTCTTCCTCGTCAACTAAGTTTCTTCACTCTCCACTTCATAATATCAACTTCATTCTAAACAATTAGAAAGAACAAATTATACATGTCTCCACAAACATAAAGAATATTAGTTGTTTAAGGAAGATATACTATTTAGAATATTAAATATACCGGGAAAGTAATTATATGTGTGTGAGCGGGTACCCATGGGGCGTAGGGATGGCAAATCAGACCCGATCCGTTGGATTTTCCCCGATCCGCCCTGTAATGGAGCGGATAAAATCCGACCTGTGCTTGAACGGGGCGGATCTTAACCCGATCCGTGATTATAATGGAGCAAATATGGATTCTTGTTCTGTGCCCGCTCCGACCCGCCCCGGCCCGCTCTGCCCCGTCCAAATCTCCAAACAAAAGGGATGAATACGATTCAGCTTCCTCTTCCATTCACCACCCGCCCACCCGCCATCAATTCCCAACACTACCCACACTCGAGAAACTTCTCTCTGCAAAAACCCAATCCACTATCCCATTTCCAGCTTTTCTAACTTTACGATTCATCTTCCATCACCAATTCCCAATCACCCGATTCCCAATCACCCGTCTGCCCATCCCCAATTCCTCTTGATATAAGTATAACAGTGAATAGCAGATGAAGGGTTATCCTTGCTGCATCTCCCATTCTCCCTTAGAGCAAAGGAAGTACAAAAAGACAACATATCTCCAGCAGCAAGGTGGTCAACAAGGACTACAAGAAAAAACGTATTTGGAATTAAGAAGTTGGTTAGGTAATATCAATATCCTATTTCTCTGTTAGTCTTTTTTGAATTAGATTGTGGCTTTGTTTAATTATGTTTGGGTGAGATTTCTCTAATTCATCAACATAATGACTAAATGAATCCCATCTTGCAATTTGTTATTGGGTAGCAGAACATGGATAAGGAGGTGCCTCAAGCTGATTTTGCAATTTTGAATCTAGAGGCAACAACTTCCCAACCTCAACCAGATATGGCTCAACATGATGTTATGCATGTTGTTGCTGAAGCTGTGGATAAGGAAACCCCCCTGCAACTGCAAATGATGATGAGAAGGATAAACGCAAGGGTACAACATCTGGTAAAGTGTTTTCCAAGTGGTGGCAACACTATAATAAGGTAACCAAGGATGGCAAGCCAAAAGCAGAGTGCAAATATTGTAAGAAGAATCTTGTTGGAGACCCGTCAAAAGGAACAACTCACCTGAAGAATCATTACTATCGATGTCCTAAAGTGAAGCGTCCGGGAGATATAAAACAACAACTCCTGCAAGGCAATATGAACAAGGAGAAATTCCAGCTGACGCCGTTCAACTTCAGTCAAGAAAATTCTCGAAAAGAATTGGCTAAGGCGATTATAAAGCACGAGTATCCTCTCTCAATTGTAGAGCATGAAGGCTTTAGGAGTTACAGCATGAGTCTGAACCCTTGCTTCAAGATGGTGTGCAGAAACACTATAAAGAAAGACTGTCTTGACATTTATCATCTTGAAAAACAGTGTGCAATTCAGCTTTTGAGGAAGAATGAAGGCCGAGTGGCAATAACCACAGACATGTGGACATCTTCTCAGAAGAAGGGTTTCATGGCAGTGACTTCACATTACATTGATAATACTTGGACTTTGCATAGTCGAATTATCAGGTACTTTTGGTTGCATTCTTTTATTACATTTTGTGATCATTAAACTGAATCAATTTATAATCACTATGTCTGGGAGTTGCCAATATATATGTTAGATGTTGACATTTTGTTAGTTGCTGCAAGTTATATTACATCAATACTTAATCAGCCTCTATGAATCAGCCTATATAAGTGTGAATTTAGTTGTCTTCTTTTATGTGTTAGCTGTAACTATATGAATTAAGTTGTGATTGCTTTGAATTAAGATGTATTTCGTATGTATAAGAGTAAAATTTGAATTAAGTTCTGCACTTGTGATTTTACAGGTTCATTTATGTGCCTTCCCCACACACTAGTGAAGTCCTTTGTGAAAATCTGTTTGACTGTTTAATGGACTGGAACTTGGATCATAGATTATCAGCTGTCACGGTTGATAATTGCTCGACTAATGATGCAATGATGAGTCAACTGATGGAGAAGCTTCCTTTACAGTCTCTCTTGGACAATGGAAGTATGATTCATGTGCGGTGCTGTGCACACATATTGAATCTCATTGTAAAGGAAGGTCTTAAGGTTATTGGAGATGGCATAGATAGAATCAGGGAGAGTGTTCGTTTCTGGTTGGCAACACCAAAGAGATGGGAAAAGTTTAAGGAGACTACCCAACAGCTTGAGCCAGCACGTCTGATTCGTAATCAAGGTGGTAAGAAACTCATACTTGACTGTGAAACTAGATGGAATTCAACCTATTTAATGCTGAAAACTGCTTTGGGATATAAAGAAGTTTTTAATCGGTTAAGAAATAGGGAGCCAAAGTACAAATGCTTGCCTACTGAATGTGATTGGAAGTTGACAGAAGAGATTTGTACTAGGCTGAAGAAGTTTCATGATGCTACTGAACTGTTTTCTGGCACTAAATATCCAACTGCCAACATATGTTTTGAAGCTATTTGTGAGATTAAGATTGCTTTGGATCAGTGGTGTATTTGTGGAATTGAAACCATTGAAACAATGGCCATAAATATGTTAGAAAAGTTTAACAAGTATTGGTCTGAGATGCATGCTTTGATGGGGGTAGCCGCTATACTTGATCCAAGGTATAAAACTGATGTAATGGATTGCTACTTTCCTGAGATTTTTGGTGGGGAAAGTAAGACACAGAAGGAGAAGCTTCTTAGTATATGTCGTAAGTTGATTGAAGAGTATGAAGAGAAGGAAAGAGAGCAAGAAAAAGTAGACAATGCAGTTGAAGTGAACTGTTCAGTAACTGCTACAATTGAGAGGGAAACAACCAGCAAGTTTGCCTTGTATGCTGCTAGAAGGAAAAGGAAGCCTACTAGGTCAGAGTTGGATTCCTATTTGGAGGATGGAATTATACCCAACAGTCCTGATTTCGATGTTCTGTGCTGGTGGAAGTCCAACAGAAGTAAATATCATATACTGCATAAGGTTGCAAGAGACATTTTGGCTATTCCCGTATCTACTGTGGCCTCAGAGTCTGCTTTTAGTACTAGTGGGAGGGTGATTTCTTCTCATAGAAGTAGGCTGGAACCAGATACTGTAGAAGGCTTAATGTGTGCTCAAAGCTGGCTGCGAGGTAATGACTATCCTAATTCCAAATATTTTCTGCATATACACAAAAATTATGAGTCTTTCTAACCTGTTTATATATGAATGTAGCTGGTGTAACTGGAGAGAAGTACTCACTTGGTACAGTACAACAAGATTCTGACGGAGAGACAGAGGATGACCCTGAGGTATTGATTCCAAAATATTTTCCTTTTCAATTTGCAACATAGTGTTGCTGTTTGGTTGGTTTTTTACATTTATATGACTCTCAGAGCTGCCACTGATATAAGCATATTTGTAGTGGTTCTGGATGGTTTCTTTTACATTTATAGTGATTTTGTTGGAGCTGCTGTTGATCTATCATATCAGTGATGATACTAACCTTTTCTATGGCTTATGTACACAAACAGTTGCAAGTAAAGGCTATTCAAAGTTAAAAGAGGGGAGATTGATGTTTTAAAGGCTAGTGGAAGGCTTGCAAGTGTTGCTGTTGCATGGAGAATTGGAGATTGAAGAACCCTATGAGAAATGAGATGAAGTTTTCTGATGGATGAACCATAGAACACTTTCATATATTATTTTACAAATCTGGAACTTTATTACTTCATTTGCACTTTTCATTTGGATGAACCAGAGAACACTTTCTTGATGATTGAAGTTCTTTTGCTTAATGATGGTGGTTACTGGTTACAGCTTTGCAATATTTGTTACCAAACTACAACTTAGAATATGTCGTTCAGGACAGGGCAGGGCGGGTATTACCTGCCCCGCACGGATCAAAGCTTGGGGCAAAAAGTGTCGACCCGTCGCGGGGCATGGGGCGGGGCGGGGCATGAATTTATGGACGGGGCAGGGCACGGGTTTAGTACTACCCGCTCTGTTCATGACCCGTTGCCATCCCTAATGGGGCGGGTTTACCTAAACCCAAATCCAACCCGACTCGGTA